CATGAAACCAACTGTGACTACTGAATGTTATTTTATTATAAAAAGTAGGCCTATTATGTATTATTAAGGTCACTGTATTGACCCATTCTTCGATGCCGCTGTGGAAACCTGTGAGGAGCAGTGTGCGCCACAGTCCCATCTCAAGATCCTGAGCTTGGATTGGTCCGGACCTCAGCTGGAGGATTTTAGGTTTTGGTTGATGAAGGATGAAGTGTGAGAGCTGGGATATAACTGATCGTAATATATAATGATTATAAGTATTGTAGTTATTTCTGTTCTTCTCTGTTACGCCGCCCAAGGACTTTATTAGAAAACGGCTGAATCATGTGCAGACAGAGCAGCTTTTTTCTTGAGATTATTTGTGCAGCTGCCTTGAGTAGAGTAAATAAATATAATAAAATATAGTACCGTATTTTCCAGGCTGTTAGGCGCTCTGGATTATAAGACGCACTGTCATTAAATGGTCTATTTTTGAACTTTTTTTCACAAATAAACTGCACCAGACACTGAAACAACAGTTGGATGGGTCAATGGGACTTTGTTTGGCACGTTCACGGTGACTCTCGGCTTTGTTCAATTGTGGTGCGTAGGCAGTGTTGGGGAGTAACAGATTACATGTACCAGAGTTACGTAATCAGAGTACAAATTATGAGTAACTGTATTCAGTTACAGTTACTGCTTCAGTGAGTGGTAATTGGATTACAGTTACTTTGTTGAAATAAATGGATTACACAGAGGTATTTTTCGCATTTTGGGCTATATCCCTTTTCTTTTTTTTTTGGTAATTCCATTCATTGCCGGAAACTAAACCAAGTCTAAACCTGGACTAAACCAGGTTTAGACCTGATTTTAGTCCTGGTTTAAATCTAGATCTAAACCAGGTCTAAAACAGGACTAAAACCAGGTCTAAACTACATCTAAACCAGGTCTAAACCAGGACTAAACGAGGATTTAACAGGACTAAACCATGCTGCGTGGACCATGTCTTCTCGTCTTCTATCAATAATATTTTTAATACTGTTCAGTAAAGTCTGGGCTTTTTATTATCTTTTATCAGACAAAACGTCTTATGTTACGATATCCTCGTCTTTGCTTCTCTACAGCAAATCAAATAATCCAAAGTATTCAGATTACGTTACTCACCTTAAATAACTTAATGGATTCCGTTACAAACTACATTTTGGGGTATGTAATCTGTAATCTGTAGGGGAATACATTTTAAAAGTCACCTTCCCAACACTGTGCGTAGGGAGGGTGCTGTCTGGGATCGCTGGATTGTCGGCGTGTTCGCAGTGACTCAGTTGTTCAGTTGTGTCTAGAAGTGGCACATTGCACTCGCTTTTTCCTCCGTTCCGTTCCTCGTCGGCGTGGAGTGATGAGTGTGGCTGCGGGTGTTTTTCGCTGTGCGGTCACTGTCTGCTCCGTGTGTGTTTGCGTGCGCTGCGGGTGGTGCGGCTTTGTAGTTTACTGAAGTCGTGCTGGGACACCTGAGTGGATTCGTGTATAGGGCGCTCTGGATCGCGGGGTGCACGGCTGTTTTTTGATGGGGTTGAAGGCTTAAGAACGCGTCTAAAACCTGAAAAATACGGTATATAATATTACACAAATACTGTTTATGGTTTGAACTGTGGTCGTTTGATACTATTTTCTAATCACTAAGTTTACTGGTAAGAAAGCCTAACTAAATGTTCTCTTTAAGTGGATAAGCAGATAAATAGATCCATTAATCATGTGTTTTTGCTTCTAAAACGGCCTCCTTAAACGGCTGTCATTTCGCCGGTTTGTTTACGCTCATATATTACTCATAATCTTTGTCTCCCGTGTGGAGCCATTCACACGCTCTGCGGAGAGAATCTGATGAGGAGCTCCCATCGAGAGAAACGGGCTAAATGATCAGCTCCAAATCGGACGATTGAACTCCCCTTACATTAATTAACTCTGGCGTTCTGGAGGAATCACCTAGCTCGCTCACATGCTAATAAATTACCCCTCTGCCCTCCCACCCGCAGACACGCACTTGATGGATTGGACGTACAGTTGGGCTGCGCTGTTATTCCTGCAGCCAGATGAAAGTGGCATATAGCGGGCGCCGGGCGGGCACACCTCATTTGCTCCGGGCCCCTCTGGGAGTCACATCTGCATGAGCTGCTGTAGCCTGCCACGCGCCTGTCTCCCCGCCGGCCGCATTACCATATTCATAAAGCCGCTGGATATCGATTATACATCTCACACCTGGGCTAGTCTTCTGTGCGCGCGCCGGGGCAGTCTCATAATAAAGCGGATGTGATGCTGATGGACAGTGATGGTGGTTGACC